ATTGAATGTTTTTTAGATCATTCAAATCGGATACTCCGTTCTCTCAAAAATTCGATTTCTATTTTCCGCACTCTTTGCTCCGTATCTCCGAAACGGCTGGACCTGCCTTTGCCAAAAACTAATCAGCTCTTTCCCTATCAAAGGAATCGAATGTTTTTTGAACCATTCAAATCGATTGATCCGTGCGCCCTAAAACGTGACTGGAAATTTGTATCCACACAGCATACACACACACACACACATACACACACACACACACACATCCATTTTTTCTGAGGTATGCCAAAATGTTCAGAAACCTTCAAAACGTCGAGAAATGTAAAAATTTTCAATTCCGATTTTCGGCTCATTACAATAACTTACCCTACGGGAAGTTAATAAATAGTATTTTAAAGTAAAAAAGTTTATCAAATCCGTATTAACAAAATTAAAATAAAGAAAAATGATCCCAAAATTTAAAAAAGTATTAGGGTTACACCATCCCTTAATAATAATAACTTGTATTTTCAAGAAACATTCAAGCTTTTTCTTCAAGCTCAAAAATATGAACTAAAATTATGTCAAAAATATTAAATGACTGAACTCTAGTTAAAAAAATAATAAATTACTAAAATGGCTATAAAAAATAGGGGTTGGTGATAAAAAAGTAAAAATTTTTGGTTGTATGCATTTTTAATGCCACATCGTAAAAAATAAAAACAAACAAATCCGTTCAAAACTTACAAAAAAAAATTTAAGGGGGAACAACCCTTATAACTTAGGGGTATGAAACAAAGACAGTAGACGATTATCAAACCTGCAGAATATCTAAGTAAAATTTAGTAGAAATCGGTAAAGCCGTTTCGGAGGAGTACAGTAACTAACATTATGACATGAAAATTTTATATATGTATACATTAGGGTGGTCCTTAATATGGACATTTTCGAATTCCTTTGCTCTCAGAGGCTCAAATGCTTTCAGTGATAAAAAACAATTGTCTAAAAATTTTAGCTCTCAATATTAACTTTTAGATAGTGCGCAATTCAATTAGAAGTTTCGTATATTCATTATTAAGTAAATTCTTGCGCCATCGTTAAAAATAAGAGCCAAAATTTTTAGGGAAGTTTTTTTTTATCAATTTGGAAGCATTTGAGCCCTTGGGAGCAAAGAAATTCGAAAATGTCCATATTAAGGATCATCATAATAAGGATATATATATATATATATATATATATATATATATATACAAAAGAAAATCAAATCACTTACCTTCATGTCTTCAAAAGTCCTGTCAATCATCATTAGTGATTCGTTCCATTGATTATGTTCTGAATGTAAATATTTCGTTAAGTTTTCAGCACACTGTAGCATTGATTTTAAAATTCTGAAATAATTATCAGAATATATATATATATATATATATATATATATAATTTATTTAAAAATTTATAATTTACCTTAATAAGTTCGTATAATCCCTTTCCTCGTTATCCTCCTGCACCATCTCAAACACTCGCAACAAAAACCCACAAAATTTCAAAACAGCTCCATAAAAATCTGGTAAAAATTGTAACAACTGTCGATAAGTTGCACGTCTCTTAGATCTCAATGTATGTTCCACAAAAGCTTTATATTTAATATCCAAACTGTCTTTGAAATTTTTAATAGATAGAAATAGATTTTCCATAATTTGATTGAGTATTGTCACTAATTCTTTTTCAATTTTTGGTCGAAAGAACACTGATACTGGTAAATTGGTGATGTGGTGTATGATAGTTGAGATGTTGATTGTAGATGTTGAATATTTGTTGTGTGTTAAGTTTAATTTAAAGTCTTCTGGTGTCAGGACATTGTTTAAGGTTTGAGTTTGTATTAACACATCTTGCAAATGTTTTAAAAATACAGCATTTTTGTGATACAAGCATTTGTAAGTCTCCACACATTTTAACCAAACAGGACAAACCTTGTTTTCAAACACCAAAATTCCATATGATACTAAAATCAACAAAACTTTTACCACATTTTGGTCTAAAGATTCAAAATCAATCTCTCCATGACTCAATTTATCCCGTAGTCTCGGTCCTGATATATATACAAAAACATCATGCACAAGACTTAAATAATTGTAATCATACACTTGGTATATTTTGTTTGATCGAGTTTCTTCAAAAATTTCATCAAGTGTTGTATAAAACGTTTTGCAATCTGCAGTCAACAATCTTTCAGGCTGGTTATTGATTGTGCAAAAAATATATCTAAACATACTTTCAAATTGTGGAATTAATAAAAGTGCACAGTTTGACCAGTGATTGGTTTTGTAATAATTAATTATACGAGTCCAGTATGAGTGGAAACTAACAGGAATACACTTTGTTTGTGCAATTATTGGTAAAACTTGATCGATGTTGATGGTTGCAAGATTGTTGCTTATGTCGGATAAAGATGTTTTTTATTAAAGGGCGTTGCATGATTTTTTGAGTCAGATTGTGCTTGTTTAGGATTTCTCCAAATGATGCAAGTAGTATAAATAAAATAGCTGGAAACGATGAGTGTATTTCATTAGGATTTGCAAAACCATGCCAGACTATGTTTCTCAGATTTAAACCTTGGGGGGTTGCCGAGTAGAGTTTTGGTGAATGTTATCTGAAAAGGTAATTATTAGTAAAATATTAGTAGAAGAATATATAAATATAATTACAGGTTATGATTCTACTTACCGGTGTTTCTCCCATCATCGACAGCAACTCCTGAGTGTCCAACAAGTCCCTCAGCAAAAACGGCACAGATTTACATTTCAATAACAAGACATCACCCAAAGCACGTTCAATAATACAAGTCAACAATAATATAATTTCCACATTATCCACATTATTCTTGTTATCCAAATACTTCTTCAAACACCTCTCAATATCTTGTACTCGATTTGTCCACAAACAATTGTGCAATATAACATTTACATCTGCTTCTTGAATAGCTTTCTCAGATTGTATTATAATAATAGATAAGTCAGTGATTGCTGTTTTAAACCAGTCGTGATTTATTTCTGTGTTAAAAGTAATTTTAAAGTCTGTTTTTATCAAAGACCAGTCCAATGTAAAATTTGAGGTTATGTACTTGCAGTTTTTGTTAGTTTCTTGTTTTGATTTTTGAGGAATGATTGAATATATTTCTTGGATGTCTTTAGAAAGAAAACTATTCATTTTTGCACGATCGGTTAAATGATATTGTGATATTATATGTATTTTGTTTAATTTTAAACGCACTATTTTGAATTCACTTTGAAACTAACAATAACAATGAAGTTGTTCACAAACGTCTGCCAATGACAGCAGCGAATGCGCGGAGAAAAGATGAAACATTTTGAGATTGAAGCGGGAAATTTGAAATTAGATGAAAGTAGCATTTTGGGTTATATACCAAAGGCCAAAAAAAAAAATCTGTAAAAACTATGAAATGTATCGATACAAAAATCTATACACATATAAAGGCATTTTTTAGCTATATTCATATTCAGATCTGCGTGAGCACCTTTCGAAAAACACGTTTTGCAGTGATCACTCTATCTCTGAAGAAAATCATCTGCAATTAAAAAAAACAATAAGATTTCATTAAAAAAATGATAAATCTAGTAGTTAATCGAAGCAATAAGCAAAACTAGTGGGGTGCATGGCAACGTGACTTAAGGCAAATTGCTGGAACTTTCCGTACGGTAATTAAAAATCTTGGTACAGAACCCAAAAAATTAAAATACACAAAATGTGTACAAATTATTAAAATCTCTATAAAATATCTGATATTTTGATGTACATATATCCAATAAACATTTATGACCGCCAAATGGCTTTTTTTTTAACCTATTTTTATTGAAAGTCCATAACCGCTGGACCTGCCTCATCAGTTTTTCATCTTGTCAATACAAGTAAAATGTTTTTTGAATTATTAAAATCGGACGCTCCGTTTTCTTCAAAACTGAGTTACCGTTTTTGGCACTTTTTGCCCCGTATCTCCGAAACGGCTCGACCTGCCTTCGCCAAAAACTAATCAGCACGTCTCCTTATCAATACGAATCGAATGTTTTTTGAATTATTCAAATAGGTTGATCGGTGTTCCTAAAATCGTCGACAAACATTTGTATCCGCACACAGGCACACACATCCATTTTTTCTAAGGTATGCCAAAAACCCTTGATATAAAAATTTTCATTTTCGATTTTTTTTACTAAACTTACCCTGCGATGAGTTAACAAAGTATAATTAAAAAAGAAAATCCTAGCATTCTAGATTCTCCCCCCATAAATTCTTGCAAAACTGCAGTTTCGATAGAGACAAGAAACAAAAAAAAGTGGTGTATTCAATCAGTATTATACCCGAACGCATTATACAAAATTATAGACAAAAGACCTAGTTTAGTATGCGTAATAGCTTTTATTTAGTATTTACTTCGCTATATGGAAAAAACTTTTTGAAATCGGTCCAGTGGTTTTTGAGAAAGTCTATGAAAAGTCAAATATTGACACATATACACACGATTTGAAACGTCGATAAAACATAAAATTAGCAAATCGGATTTTCTTGCAAAAACAAACTTTTCCTTCGAGAACTTAATATTTTTGCCTTAACGAACAGCCTGAAATGTTAGAGGCCTGCGAAAAATGGTTTAATTATAAAAATTAATTACAATTTGAATTATACTCAGGCGGTACAGAGCTCGCCATACCCAGACAAAAGACCTAGTTTAGTATGCGTCAAAGTATATTTTCGTTAAATAAAGAACTTCTAAAATCGACAAAAAACCGACATACATAGACACGACTTGGAACGTCGATGAAATTAGCAAATCGGATTTTCTTGCGAAAACAAACTTTTCCTTGAAAATAAATAAATATATTTTTGTCTGACTGACTAAATTTTTGGGAAGGCAGGTCTAGCGGTTTCGGAGATATAGTGGAAGAAGTAAAAAAAATGCCATTTCGAGGTCAAAAGTGGTCATGTATACATCAAATTATTATATATTTTATGAAGATTTTAATAATGTGTATCAATTTTGTTTACATTTCTATGGGTTCCGTAACATAGTTTGCCCGTAAGACGGCGGCGCGGCGCTTACGCGCTTCTATAGTTTGTCTCTATGCAGCTAAAACAGTGCGATCGCTTCGAGAAACATTTCGAAATTTACAAAATATTTCAAAGTATAAAAAAAACAATTTTTTCAAAAATATCAATTTTTTATCAGAAATTTGAAAAATCTCAAAAATCGATTTTTTCTAAAAGAAAATTGAATCTTTATAAAAAAAATTAATTTTTGGTACGGGAAGTTACAGCAATTTACCTTAAGGCACGATGCCATGCACCACTAGTTGATTTAGGGACCGATTCTGCCGCATAACAGAAAAATGTTATGGTAAGGCCATGTTTTGGAGAACTTTCCATACTAAATCTCGACAAAGCCATGTGGTTGCTGTGCAGTCAGGCACATTTCTCAGATGGAAAACCAAACCAAGAAACCACACAAATGTCTTAGAAAACACTTCTCTCACTTCTCTCACTTAGAAAACAGGGTCTTTCTGACTCGGCTTCATAACATACGAGTGACGTTGCAGTTTATGTGTAAAACGCCTGTATTTGCTATACATGACATTTCGACAGTATTCAGTATGATTCAGTAGCATCATGTATGAAAGTTGAAGCGTAACATGGCTTTGCCATAACATTTTTCTGTAATGCGGCAGAATCATGCCTTAAGGCAAAATGCGACTTACACCTTGTTTAAATAATATATTTTAAATTCAGTAATTAGTAACAGTTTAATCATCATCGATGTGTCACTCTGTTTATCAAACGCCGTCTTTATCTCTAAATCAAGAGATAATGCATTATAAGTTGATACAAAATAATTTCATTCGCAAACGCGCGCACTTTTCTATTTAATTTAATTCCGTTCTCAAATTTGTCCTCTATCATTTTTTTTCCTGAAATGGTCTACGAGTGGACAGATGCTTCAAGATTGAAGCTAATAAAACGATTCGAAAAGAAAAGAATATTATGGGATTCCAAAAATGCCGGCTATAAAGATAAGAAAGGAACGCACGATGCTTGGGAATTAATTGCGAAAAAATTTGGTTTGACTAAAGAACAAGTTGAGAACGAAATGATGCTTCTGCTGAGTAAATATGAAAAAGAAAAGGATGCCGTCAAGGATTCCAAAAAGAATAACGAGATTTGTCAATCTCAATGGCATTTTTATCATTATTTCGATAAGGATGGATTTCTTGGAGGGATAAAGGATGACAGTGTTTACCAAACTGTAAGTGTTGTGACAATAATAATAGTTTGTGATAATTGATTTGCTATTTTTGGTACGCTGTTTTATCTTGATAAATCATGTTTTCATTTTGATTTCATGATTTTGGTTATTAGTGTCGGTAGTAATCAAACTGTTACTGTAACTTAAGGCAAATTGCTGGAACTTCCCGTACCAAAAATTTAATTTTTTAAAACAGATTCAATTTTCTTTTAGAACACCGAAAAACATTATAGTAAGTTATTGCAAGTTATAGTAATCGCAAAAAAATAGAAAATGAAAATTTTTATATATCTCTACGTTTCAAAACCTTCTGACCATTTTAGCATACCTTAGAAAAAATTGATGTATGTGTATGTGTGTGTGTGTGCGTGTGCGTGTGTGTATGTGTGTTCGGATACAAATTTTCGTCGACGATTTCGGGAACACCGATCAACCGATTTTTTTCGATCATTAAAATTGAAAATAGTAGCCATATCTTTTGATCACTTCATAAATTAATCCGTGCCAAAACAGGGTAATACAGTAGAATCCGATTAGTATTACACCGGATATATTGACAACCGCTTAATATGACGTAATCGCACTAGGAATTTGGTTTGCATATAAAATTCCTTAAAAAAACAGCTGTCTAGTCGGATATATTGACATCGCTTACATTGACATGTCGCTTATAATGACCCATTTTTGCAAAAATTATGTCCATTTATAATGACCGACATGATTTTACATGATGTGGCCAAGTCTACGAAAGCAATTGCTAAGTCTTTTATGCACAATAGCACTAGGGACTGTTTTTACAATCAAATTATGTAAAGAAATTAATCAAAAATTACTGATTACTTACATTAAAAAATCACTTTTGTATGTTCATGGGTAGGGTAGACCAAATATTAATGGTCCACCACGGATATCTCGTAAACAAATAAAATTAGATTTTTTTAACAAAAATATTTGATGTAGAGGGCAAAAAATGTATAAATTTATAACGAGCCATCACCTTCATTATTATGACTTTGCTATCAGAAGATAAGCAGCACATGAGTGGTATAAAAAGGACCAGCAGAACCTTTACTTTGGCAAAGGTGTAAGCAATAAAATAGTAAAGTTTGAAAAAAAGCAATTTTACAAGAGATTAATTAAATAATTTGTTATTCCGGCTCGTATATATTTGTTCGAAGATAGCTCCCCAAGTCTGCTCTCGCAAAAATGTAAACAATTCCTCATTCTGTCAATACAAATAAAATGTGTTTTAAATAATTCTAATCGGATGCTTCATCTCATTGAATTGCACTTTTATATCTCCAAAAGAACAGAACCTGCCTCTGCCAAAAACTCATCAGCACTTCTCCCCATGAAATCGAATGCAAATAACAAATCGATTAAGCTGTGCTCTCTAAATCATCGACAAAAATTTGTATGCGGACATACATACACCCAATTTTGTAATACTATACCCAAGGTATGTTAAAATGTTTAGAAAAATTCGAATCAAAAGATATGCAAAAAAAATCATTTTCTTTTGTTTGCAATTACTATAACTTACCCTACGGGAAGTAGTCAATTTGCTATTAATTCCTCTATCTTTTTTCCCAAGATTCAAGAACTAAAAGCCAAAGAAGTCATGTATAAGAAATCGGTCCAGACTTCGAATAATGCAGAGCCTCCACCAGCGTCTCCAATGATTTACTCGCGAACTGCAGACGCCGTCCATAAACCGTCGATGGTTTTCCCAACAATTGAGATTTTACAACATGAGGTGATCCCTCCTCTCGTCCAGGACAATTGTCATTACTTCTGCAAACGTTTGGAATCGAGATTGAGAGATTTGAAGCCGGAGAGCCAAAAGAAGGCCATGAGACAGATCGATATGATGATGTATTTTGCTGAAGGATTGTAGTAATTCTGACTCCTGCTTCAGGCCTCTGAAAGATATATGAGATATTGTAACTGTACATGATTGATTAATAAACAGATTTTGAATTCAATAGATCGTTTTATCTATATCGATATGAGATAAATTAAGATTTTTAAAAATGATCAAGAGATGCAGCCCTTGATAACTGATAATTTCATTATCAAATAATGTCTTGAAACATAAAATAATCAATTTGGTTTTTCTGGTTACATCTTAAGGGGCACAACTAGTGTAACCGCCTAAAAAAGGTGATTTTTGGGAATTTATATTAAAAAACCTACTTTATCGATCATTTAAAAATTTTAGGAATATATTTACACATGTTTTAAGAATACATAGTAAAATTTTTGAAGAAAAAAATTCAATATTTTTTAAGTTATCATCGATCTCCGGCGCGACAAAAAACAGGCGCTTCACTGCTGCAGTGATTCCGGCCTCCTACGTGGATGAAATTTAAAAAAAAAATCTCGTTAAACTAGATAATATTGTCTGTAAAATGAACTACGATAAAGAAAAAAAATCAAAAATTGACAAACGACGGCATTTTTTAAAAAAGAGTCGAATTTTACCCAAAATTTTGGTCGTTTTTGGACTGCCAAAATTAGATTTTTGATCCAATAAAAAAATAGATAGTTCATTTTACGGAGAACTATATATATAACATGTAAAAAAAATTTAATAGTGATCGGATCATTTGTTTTTGAGTAATCACTGCAGCAAATTAAAAAAATGCTGTTTCGAGAAAAACGCGTTTAAAGATAAAATGATCGTTGTACATATATATATACTTTTAAAATGGCTGTAACTCAAAAGCTATTTGAGATATCGATTTGAAATTTTAATACGTTATTTTTAAAGGTGTAATCTACCGAAATATGAAAAAAAAAACAAAAATCGATTTTTTCAAAATTTCACACTAGTTGTGCCCCTTAAGAAAAATAACTCTTTCATATCAACACAAATAAGTACACCGAAATCTTGTATATAAAAATGGATCGCAAAATGTGTTAGTTAACAACGCCTAGACCAATTTGGCCAATTCTTTTTATAAAATGTTCGTTCAAATCCAAGGAAGATTCTTACGACGAGAAAAAATCGAATGATTGCCGGGAAAACCCCCAAAACAGCCCTTTTCTTTTTCACATACAAACGTTTTCTAACCAAAACGTTGAATCAATTTGAGCTTTATTGCTATTATATAAAGTTCATACTAAATTACAAGCACTCACTGTATACTCCTCCTAAACGATTATTCGGATTTTGATGAATCTTTCTGAAGTTTGTTAAGGAAATTTTCTAGGATGTACGTGATTATAAAGTACTGGGATGTATGTGCAATATTGTAGAAATAAATAGAAAAAAAATGCAAAAAACGACATGTCATTGTTTGCATTGAAAACAAATGAAAACTATCATCTGCCAAAAAATTTCAATTTACTTATGAACCCAAACAATATTAGAATATGTATAATAAATAATTATTATTTCCTAAATGCAGCTGAGATGTGCCAAAAATTAAAATAATATAAGATACAGTATCTGTATGGCAGATTGAATGATACACATAAGAACAGGATATGACAAATTAATTCACTTAAAATATGAAATTAAGTATTAATCAGGGCCGGTCCTACCTTTAATGCGATGCATGCGAAAAATGCGAGCGCACGCCTTAGGGGGCGCCAACACAAGATTCGGATATTAAATTTTCAATATATAATTTCTTTGCATCTTTTACTAATCTTTCCACAATATTTTTAAAATTCGTAAAAATTTCACTTTATGACAACAAATGTGAAAGTAAAAATGAATACATACAATTCGGCCCTCACGATATCGTTTAGGAGAAGTTTAAAATGCAATTTTGGATATCTTAAATAATAAAAAATTAAATGAATTTAATCCAACGTGAAGTATCAGTGTAATGTTATGGTTATGGTTATGTTATAGCGTTTAAAAAATTTCAATTTCGAGACTCATCATTTTATCTAAAGCAGTTCTACATTTAACATCGCTCATATTATACATGTATATGCATTTTGGCGTGAAGAGTAATTTAAAAAACAATAATTATTATTTTTAGGTAAACGATAAATATTAGTATAAGATATTAAAAAATTGTAGACATGGGTACAGGACTACGTCTGTCGGGTCATCTAGTAAATAAATATATAATCAGAATGAATATTTTACCGATTTTCATATCCAGACAATGCCCCCTTAAATATAAATAAGAGTTCGTGACCTCGGACGGGGCGCTCCCGAAAAAAGTTGATTGTCATAAGAGTTTATTTAGCGAATAAATTATTGAAACAATCAATCAATATTTTTTATATTTTGTTTTTGAAAAAAATAAAATCGAATTAAACGTTCGGACAAACGGAGTCAGTCGGGCGACGAACGCCATGGCGAGGACATAAATGGATAGAGTAAAATTTTAATAAAAATATTTTAAATATTTAGTTTGTATTAATAAATAGTAATAATAGATTTGTTTATTGTTATATTGTTGGTTTTAGTATATTTATAATCGATGATGGACGCTATAAATATACCGCAGTTTTTTGTGGATAAAACCATTTTTATTACTGGAGGAAGTGGTAAGTCCAAAGAAGTAACACTAAATTTTATATATACTTATACATATATATATATATATATATATATATATTTATAATAAAGGTTCTAAATTTTGGTGATGGTGTCATAAGCGACTACATGACAAACTGATATCTCTAAAATTTAGAACTATTTCTAAAATTTAGAACTGTATCTAAAATTTGGAATCATTTCTAAAATTTAAAACTATCACTAAAATTTAGAACCATGTTCAAATTTAGATCCATGTCTAAAATTAAAAACTAACTCTAAAAATAATTTAGATTTCTAAAATTTTAGAGTTTTAAATTTATCTCTAAAACTTACAACTCTAAAATTTTAGAGTTGATTCTAAAATTATTCTCTAGATTTTAGAATTATCTCTGAAATTTAAAACTAACTCTGAAATTTAGAACTATCTCCAAAATTTAGAATTTTCTCTAAAAAATTTAGAACTATCTCTAAAACTCAGAACTGTCTTTAAAATTTGTAACTATATCTAAAATTTAGAACCATCTCTAAAATGTAGAACCATCTCTAAAATGTACAACAATCTCTAAAATGTAGAACCATCTCTAAAATGTAGAATCATCTCTAAAATTTATAACTGTCTCTAAAATTAATTTAGAACACTAAAATTTTGGATATAGTTCTAAATTTATCTCTAAAACTCAGAATCTAAAATTTTGGAGAGTGATTATAAATTTATCTCTCAGTTTTTCAAATTCTGAACTGTCTCTAAAATTTATAGAATTTTCTCTAAAAAACTCAGAACTCTGCAATTTTAGTGATGATTCCAAATAAATCGCTAAAATTTAGAACTGTCTTTACAATTTAGAACAATCTCTGAAATTTAGAATTATTTCCAAAATTTAGAACTAGATTTAAAATTAATTCAGGAATCTAAAATTCTAGAACTTTTTAAAATTTAAAACCATCTCTGAAATTTAAATTTATTTTTAAAATGTAGTACTATCTCCAAAATTTAAAACTATCTCTAAAATTTAGAACTGTCTCTAAAATGAACTACATCTAAAATGTAAAACTAACTCTAAAAATTAGAACTGTCTCTAAAATTTAGAACTATCTCTGAAATTTTAGAACTATTTCTGAAATTTTAGAACCATCTCTAAAATTTTAGAACTATCTCTAAAATTTTAGAACTATCTCTAAATTTTAGAATTATGCCTAATATTTAGAACTATTTCTAAATTTAAGAACTATCTCTGAAATTTAGGACTGATACCACTAAGTCATAAGTCGTGCATCGGGTAACACGGGCGTTTAAAATTTAACATACTTAATAAATAGGGCTAAAAGGAGTGTCATATGTCCTTATTTCATAGTTAATTTAAAAATATTAGGTTGTCAAATATCTCCCTTCCGCTTTTTTGCTCTTGGTTTATAATACAAAAAGGCGGAAGGGAGATATTTGACAACCCATTTTTCTTTAAAACTTTTAATATTTTTCATTAATATATGATGGTTGTAATTATTCTGAAAAAATAAATTTACATTTAGATCTTCAATTGAATTTTCGAATTAAAAATAACAAAAAAATGCTTCATTGAAGTAATAAAATTCATACTTTAAATCCTATTTAGTGTGATAAAATGTATGGAGTCAATAGAAAAAATCAGTGTTATATAATTATTATTATTTATTTGTGCATGTGCTTAACCAATGGTAATTTATAACATTTTAGAGAACATAAATTCAAACATAAATACTTATTCCTAGTTATTATTTTATTTAGTTATATAAATTTGCGTAGGTTTATGGGAAAATGTATAATCGAGAAGCTGCTGAGATCATGTCCTGACTTAGAGGCAATTTATTTGCTGATTCGGCCGAAGCGGGGAAAGCCGGCTGCGAACAGGGTTCAGGAAATTTTGGAAAACAAGGTAAGGAATAGTCATATATATATATATATATATATCTACATATATATAAAAATAAGTTGGGTTTTCCTTCCTGACGATATAACTCCAGAACGCACGAACCGATTTCGACAATTTTGCATTCGTTGGGTCTCGGGCTCCGCAAGGCTAAGAAAATTAGTGGTACATGGCATCGTGCCTCAATACAAATTGCTGGAACTTCACGCACCGTAATTAAAAATTCGAGTAATGACATTAGTGAAAATTATCAGAATTATGCTTAGTTAAGTCAACGAGCAATTCTTGCCGCAAAGAATAATAATGTACACGCACTGAATTTCACCATTCAATGAAAAATTGCTGGTGATTTGGTGACATACCAATGATTCCGTTTGATTTGACTTCAAACGATTGCAATTTCCAGTTCGCCTTGCGTTCGCAATAACAAGTCGCGAGGCCAATCGCTTAGTGTTTGCGGGATAAATTTCAAATAGATTATTTAAAAAATCATTGTTTTTCACATGGGCAGTTATACGTTGCCTGTTCACGAGTTGGAAAACCATCCGCTTTGTTTGTGTTAACGTCAGACCAAAAAACAAAAAATGTGGTTTCCCAAAGAGCACTTCAATGAAACGGATAATTTGCGTATTCACTTTCAATTACTTAAAGAAGTTCAACTAAAAAACACTTCATTTTTGTAATCGAAATAAATTTATTACTGTTGTATAATAAAATCAATTTTTTCCTTTTCAAATATGAAACCAACAAAAAATTTCTTCATCTTTCTCACGAAACCATCTGATGGCGAATCGGAGTTCGTTGGGTTTACTAGTATATTTATATATATATATATATATATATATATATATATATATAATATATATAATAAGATTACTCGCAATGGTTTCTGTTTCCTGTTCTTAGTGAACAACTAATTAAGGAAAATGAGCTTAACAGCTCATAGTGAGTGATGTTCAGATTGCTGTTAAAAATGATTGACTACATTCAAATTAACAAAAACGACACAAAAATATTTATTATTATTATTAATATCATTATTGTTTTTCTATGAAATTTCTTACATATTATTGATTTAGTTTTAATTTTTATAGTTAAATTGATTGCCACTGAATGAAGACTAAGATGCTAGTCGAAACGTATGGACTTTAAATAAATAAATTTCTAAAAACTCTCATACTATTTTTATTTATGTAACGCCCGACTTTTTAACTCAAATTAAACATATTACCCTCAGTTATTCGACGTAGTGAGAAACACTACCCCTTCGGCCTTCGAGAAAGTCTTCGCCGTCACCGGCGACGTCACATCCCTCCAACTCGGCCTCAACGACCAGGACAAAAAACTAGTACTAACTTCCCACGTCGTCTTCCACGCCGCCGCCAGTGTAAGGTAATAAAAAACATTGTACCTAATCTTATATTTAATATATTTATAGATTAATCATTTATCTTTTTATAAATTTCATTTATCTTTTAGGTTCGACGATCCCTTGAAAAAAGCAATCCTCATGAACACCAGAGGAACTCGAGAAATTATGGAACTGATGTTGCAGATGCCAAATCTGGTGGTTGGTGTCCATGTGTCAACCACATATTGCAACACCGACAAAGATGTCATCGAAGAAAAAGTTTACAGGGACCATGGAGATTGGAAAGAGGCCATCAGACTGGCAGAAGGGTACCAGGATGAATATAAATTGGATATCTTGACTAACAAGTGGGTAAAAGATAGTTGTATATGTTGATTAGGCTTTGTCGGTTTCCAAAAACCGGTTTTTTGACGAAAATTATGGAATTTGAAAACCGGTTTTTTAGTGAAAAAAGTCGGTTTTCACTATATAAATGGAAAATGACAATATAGCCAAATATAAAAGATAGATGAAAGCGTTTTGATTCTTGAAATCATATCGGTTCAGTAGCATTTTATATCTTATCAGTACGCAATGGTTCCCAGAAAAGTTTTGTATATATTAATTTAAATTTTTATACCAGTGTATATATTAATTTAAATCAGTGTGGCTTCTTTTTGAAGAAGTAACTTCCTCTACTCAAACTTAAAAAAATAGTTTTAAACCCTAGAAGCCACAAATTAAAGAATAAAACCTTAGAATTATTATATCAGGCTTTAAAAACAATTAAGCATAATTTGGTCGCAAGTGTGAGAGTATTTTCTATTTCAGGAAATTTTGTGAGTAAACAAAGGACACGTCTAAGTAGCAATTCGATAGACGTTCTCCATTTTTTGAAATCATATTTTATTCAATAAAAAAAACAATTAGAATGTTTAAAATTAATTAATTAAATTTGCTCGGAACAGACAACACCTGAGTTTAGCTTAATTATTTTTAAAACTAAAATTGATATTAACAAGTATGTATCGACATGTATCTAAGTTTTTTTTAATTTAATGAATGTTTTTCATTCAAAAATGTATAAATTTTATTTATTCGAAAACTTTCCTTTCACTATCATAAAAATATTTTCATTCTTATATGTGCAAATGATGCATGAACAACGAATAATTATTTTCAAAGATATTTAATCAAGATAAACTATTATTCTTTAGTTCTACTAATTAAAATTAAAATAATTTTGTTTACTATCTATAAAATTGAACAATAAATAAACTCAGTCAAATACTGCTCTAAATTACACTTTTGCGGATAAATTACAGAATATTCGAGCAAAAATTTATTTTCTATATAAAATTCGAAAACCGGTTTAAACCGTTTTTTTAGTAAAATTTAAATTCGAAAACCGGTTTTCTGAAATGTCGGTTTTTGTATAAATCCTAATGTTGACAAAAGTTTACTGAATTTTGTTTTAGGTACATTGGGGATTTGCATAATACGTACTTGCTGACGAAGCATTTGGCAGAAAATGTGGTGGATGATTATAGTCACAGGTTGCCTCTGGTGTTATTCAGACCAGGAATAGGTAAAATTAAATACAGAAACTAAATGACAAGAAGTTGTTTAAATTTTGTTTCGTTTCAAGTGATTTCCACGTGGAAAGATCCGATACCAGGCTGGAACGACAACTACAATGGGCCTATTGGAATTTGCTTAGGAGTCGGAAAAGGTAATATTTGTTTTTTTAAATTTCTGATATAATTTTAGAAGTATACAGAGTTACTATAAGGACTTATAGTGTTAGGCAATATTGTTTAGAATTTAATCTTATATATAAAAATTGAGCTCGATCAAATGATTCAGTAAAACTCGAAAACGGCTAAACCGATTTGGCCAGTCTTAGTCTTGAAAAATTCGTGCTAATCAGTAGGTTGTCGGAAAGGTGAGATATTATTTCAAAATCGCGTAGAAACTTTACATTTTTAATTTGAAAATTTTTGTAGAAGCGTAATTTGAATAAAACAATAATGACGGTGGCTAATACGTCAAATGTCAAACGATTTTGACAGATGATGTTCAATTACGTTTAATAGGATGTTTTACGTGAATAATATTTAATTATGATTAAATTGTTCTAAGTAGTAGTGTTTGTAGTTTTATTTATATACAAAAACGTTAGTAAACGGGCCGCAAGTGTTACTAGAGACTCAAAATATCAACTTTTTTGAAATGTTAATATGAAAATGCACTTTTCGGCATATTTTTCTCAAACACGGTGCTCTGAAAGATCTCATTTGTATAATTATATACTCATTGGTATTTATAAAACATTTTCTAGGTTATATTATTTTTTATTTATCTTATTTGAATTCAGAACCTAAATTTGGTATCGATCAAATGGACATTTTGTCGAATAACATTTTCACAGTTATAATTTCCCAGAATTTATCGAGAAATAGATATGACAATGCTTATTATCATATATTAAAAGAGTACAATGCAACTAAATAATAATATATAATGTTACAGGA